CAGAAGTCTGTACGAGCATATTGTTACTTTCATCATGCCACCAAACCCTGCCCTCCACACATAGCAACAGCAAAGCCCCCAGAAACAGAACAGGCAAGGTAAGGAGTGTGGAAACATATTTTCCATCTGGCTTGAAAGTCAGGAAGGTGGTGAGCAGATGCTACCCCAGCATTTGCACACAGACACACTGGAGCCTCCAAGGGAGGCCTCCAACAATGAAAAATTTATTTCTAAAGCAAGAACTTCTCCAGTAAATCATTTTCAAGCCAGAACACCACCAGAGGACATCAGGGACTATTAATCATCCCTTGTTTAATATACAGGCAGTAACTCATTTAATACAGTGTCTTTCTACCTCAGTTCAAACAGAAGTTTGGGGCATAAATTCTCCATGAGTAACACAGAAGTTGTGTCCTTATCCCCAAGAGACTGATGACTTAGAGAATAAAATTCTTATTAAAAGCAGCCTGGCTGCTGTATTGACTTTATGGACGAGCTGAATTCCAGCTAAGCTTTTACCCTATGGGCCTTCAGCAGCAACATTGCCTCATAAAATTTTGCTGTTCCTCTTTTCTTTCCCCACCTGTTCCTGTGTTTTGAAACAAAACACTCAGTTTTGCTCAACAGGTGATCGATAAGGTGCTGCAAATATCATCGTTAAGGTGCTAAAGAATAGGAAGAATGAAAGAAAAGAGGAAAGGAGAAAGGGAAAACACCAAAACCCCACACACCTAAACCCCCCCCAAGACCAAAATGTTCACAAAAATCACCCTGTAGAAAAAGAATTCTTTTCGAAGTAGCCCAGCTCAGTCTGCTCCAGACACAGATTTAGTTCAGGGTTTGATATACACAGCTGGAAATAAAAAGCTGTCAGCAAACACTCCAAAAGTAGCACTGCAGCCTACGAGACACTTGTTTCACTCCATCCTTGCCTCCTCCAGAAAGAAATGACTTAGCAACTTAGTACCTTCTTCTTGCTGAGCCTCAGCAATAAGGTGGCAGTGCTGCACACAGGCAGCTGCAATGTCCACCACTCTGTCCACCATAAAACTTCCCTCAGTGTCAATGAACACAGCTTCTCCAGCAACGCCCCCAAAGCACTCCGGGATCTGGACATCCACTGCCAGCTGCATGCTGCCGTGGGAAACAGAAATAGAGATCAATATTTGCATCCCAGAGCTGTCCCAGCTCACTCCTGGAGCGATATTCCTGCCGAGGAATGCACGGGACTGGGAGCAGTACAACCATTATTATATTTATAATGCTGGAGAAGAATCAGAGATTGCAGGCACGACAAGAAGAAAAAGCTGAGTTAAATAAAAAGCGATCCTTGGCTGCACACAAGTCATGGGACAATGAAATACCACAGCTGCGTTTTGCCAACACCCGGTGCTCCACAGATCTCGGTGATTTTTGTCAGCTGCACTCCACCTCCCAGGATGTTATCCAGCGCTGAGCAGAAGGTGATGATGAAACCCTGGCTTTGCTCTTCTTCCAGAAGCTCCAGGGCTGTGTATTTCCTGGTGGCACCTGATCCCCCAGCCGGCCTTGCTGCATCCCCGTGACATTCCTGCCTCACCACCTGCAGCGCTTCCAGTGCCTCTTCCCTGGAGATTCCAATTTCTAGAGAAGCCAAAACCACAAAACACCATCTTTATTTTATAAGCAGGGACTGATTCTGCAGCATGACACAAAATGACCCATATTCACCCTCTCAGGACAACCTGGCACTAATGATGTGATTTTCAAATATTTATTGTCATAGATAGGAAAATTATTGATAATCAAAGTCCCAGACTGGTTTGGGTTGGAAGGGGCTGTAAAGACCACCCAGATCCATCCCTGCCATGGGCAGGGACACCTTCCACTATCTCAGGGTGTTCAAAGCTTCATCCAAACTGGACCCGGACACTTCCAGGGATCCAGGGATCAGCCACAGCTGCTCTGGGCACTCTGTGCCAGGGCCTCACCACCCTCACCACAGGGAGGAACCATTACACACTCCTTGAAAAAGGAATTTTCTAACTTCAAACAGCCTTATTTTGTTTCAATCACACAGTAAAAAGAAGAGGGAAACTGGGGAAAGAGGAGGCACGAGCCTAACAGAATCCTTTCATTTTCCTGCATCCTTAACATCCATCAGTGTCATCTGATCTTTTACCAGAATCCTCTTTTTTTTAATCATTATTCACTGTGCCCATTTCCCGGAAGCCTCACGGGACGGGGACGGGGAAAGGACCCGGAAGATGCCGGGGAGGCCCCGCGGGGCCCAAAGCCGCCGGTACCTTTGCTCAGGCCGCAGGGCCCGGTGTCCAGCAGCTCCTGCGCCGTCTGGAAGCCGGCGGCGGCGAGGCGGGCGCGCAGGGCGGGAGCCAGCGGCAGCGTGCCCACCTCCCGCTGCATGGCGGTATCGCCACCGGGACACCGGGGCACCGGGACACAGGGACACCGGGCACGCCTTGGATGGCTCCGGACAGGCTTTGGATGGCTCCCGACACGCTCCGGACACAGCTCGGACACGCTCCGGACACGTCCAGCGAGCGGCGATGGCTCCCGGCCCCGCCCACTGACCCCGCCCCTCTCGGTTTGAGCCCGCCCACAAACTCCTCCCATCACTGTCTGGCCACGCCCACAGACCCCACCCTGGCGCGAACCCGGCGGGCGGAGCCTCTGCGCATGCGCGCGGCCGTTCCCGCGTGTCGGGGCCGTTCTGGCGGCGGGTGAGCGGATCCGCGTGGGCCGCGCGTGTCCGAGGGCTCTGGGAAAGGGCTGGAGTGGGAATTCCCCATCCGGGAATGCCGCTGGGTATGTCCCACCTGTGTGCCCGCGGAGAGGCCGCTGCTCCTGGCAGGTTCTGTGATGTCCCGGTTGTCACCTGTCCCGTTAGGGAGGGCAGGAGGTTGTTTTCCACTTCCATCTCTGCATATTTCTGCAGGAAGCAGAAATAACTTTAAGCTACTGCAGGTTCTGAAGTCAGAAATGAGTTCTTTACGTTGAGGTGCTTTGCAGCTTGATGACGTTTCCTACTTTTTCCCAGTTCTGTTCAGGAAAGAAGATGGCTCATCCCATCCCTCTCTCACTTCCATGCCCAGTCCAGCTTGGACGTATAAAAGGAGACTCCCTGGAAGCTGACCTGCATGAGTATGTCAGGGAAGGGAACTATGTGAAAGTGAAGAAGCTTCTGAAAAAAGGTAAAAGCTAACTTTACACACGTACTGGTAGAAAAGATTTACTTTTTCCTGTATTCTTTCATTTCTGGTAAAAAATAGCCAGCATACTGCTTGTAGAATCCAGTTTTCTGAGTGAAATGTATTAACGAAATGGTTTATGGCTGCCCTTTTCCGTTAAGTGGGAATAGTTGTCGAATCAAAAAAATGTATTAAAATAAGTTAATTGAAAAGAAAAATAATCTTTTATTAGTAAAGTGCTCATAAGAACATGATGGAGGCATTGTAAATCAAAAATTCTGGAAGTCAGCTGTGGGAATATTCTCTTTAAATCGGGTTTTAGTTAAGACTACCAAACGCTTAAGGTACGGTTTACACCTTAAATATTTGACAAGATTTCTAGCCACAGAGTTACAGGGCATTTGGTACATGAAACCCAATACTCGGAGCAGTTCTGTTTCGGTTTTGGGATCACGGATCTCAGTGGGTTGTGCCGATCCAGAACTGCGCGTTTCCAGGGCGGGGCTGGGCGGGGCCGACGCTTCTCTGCGGAAGCGCGTGTGATTGGCCGGCGGGGGCAGAACATGCAAATGAAGGGTGCGCGTCCCCGCCCGCCGCTCCACGCGCGGCCTTTCCGAGGGGCGCGGCCGCTCCCGGGGGTCTCGGGGCGCGCTCCCGCGGCCGCGGGATCTCGGCGGGGCCGCGCCGGCTCGCGTTGGGGGCGCGCGGGGCGGGTGGCGGGCGGTCGCCGTGTGCTGTGTGCGGGTGTGCGCGGCAGGGCCGTGCGCGGCGGTGTGTGTTTTGTTAAGACTATACTTTCAGGGATCATTTCTGTAGTTGGTCACTAGAGGAGAGTGATCGCTCCTGATCGGCATCACAAACCACGAGGAGGAGCGA